CCGATGCCGATGCCGATTCCATAAAAAATTGCAAATAAATGTATTAATTCACAAAATCAGTTAATTTAACGGAGTTAACAAAACGAAAGACAACAATTAATTGAATTAATTGACTTGTTATGCAACAGTACATACACATGTATAGTGAAAAATATATGCACATACATACATATATCACATTTATGTACATTACATAAGAAACTTGTTTATATGTTGTCCAAAAACAATAAAGTCGGAAGTGTAATGCTCTCACCCCCTAGGATTGTTCTATATCGAAAAAAAGTATACCCTTATTTTTTATTTTGAAATCAAAAAATATTTAGGGGTGGCTCAAAGCGCTCAAAGTTTTCCATGTATTTTAAATGAAAAAAAAACATTTCATAGAAATGGTATAGAATTCTTGAAAATCAATATTTTTCGATCGGAAAACTTTGTTTCTCTTCAGTAGGCTTTTGATAATAATACCCAATTGTTTATTTAACCAGTTTTTAATAATAACTTTTTTTTATGGAACCCCTAATTCCCCAAAAAACGCAATGGGGGACCCACAAAAAGTTAGTATTAAAGAATGGTAAAGTAAATAATTGGGTATTACTATTGGCAGTCTGCCGAAGAGAAGCCGGGTTTTCCGATCGAAAAATATTGACCTTGAAGAATTCCATACCGTAGCCATGAAAAATGGTTTTCCCATATAAAATGGAAATGGACAAATTTGATTGCTTTGAGCGATCTCTAAATATTTTTAAATTCAAAATAAATAACAGGAGTACACTTTTTCGGTATCTATAGAACAATCCTAGAGGTGAGAGCACTGATATTCCGACATTACTTTTTTACATTCGTTTTTCGAGCACCCTAATGTGCACACCAGTACTTGTATATTTTCAAAGAAAAGGCCGTTTTGTTCACTTGTCAACATAAACCTCGCCGGTGATTTTTTACCAACCAAATAGCAACCTGCTGACTCCGTAACGCGATTCTCTCTTTCAACCAATCTCTTCTCTCTTGGTGTGATCTTAACGTTGCCAGCTTCATGTAGGCATTTTGTTAATTTTTATCACCAACAGTTCAACAGTTGACGGGGTTCTGTTTATCGCGCTCATTCAGTATTTATGGCTTTCGATTTTACTTTTTATCTGCAGCAACTCGCAGCCGATATGAACACTTTATTGAACACTATGCTGCTGCTGCTCATCTCCTCCACTTCATGCTCAGCTCGCTCTTCTTGATGCTCATGAATTTTTTATGAATTTTTAATGTAATCAGTAATCAGTACGTAGTAATTTAGTCAAAAACATTTCGTAGAAAGGAAAACTAAACGTAGAAATAGTCATTCGATGCGACAGTCGACATTGTTTATGGGCTGGCAGCGGCAGTTCGTTTTAGGTGGCGCAGATATATATATCTATGTATATGTAAATATGTATTTACGCACAAGTGAACATACATACATATGTATTTAGTTGCTGTTAAGAGATAAATGTTTTCATTTCAAATTCACTTCCAATATATCTATGCAGCCATAGCTTCATCATTAGCTCTTTTTAGCCTGGCTATCGTAACTGCCAGCCAATCCCTTTCGAACAGTCTTGATTAATTTCACGTTCATTTTTTATTTTCTAAAGATTTATTGCTGCGCTTGTTGACACTGTTAACTATACATATGTAAATACATTTTGTCGACTCTTTTGTTACAGCCTTTGTTTGTGGCTATTGTCTTTTAAATTTTATGACAAAGTTTTAATTTTAAGTAATTTGCTTCGAATTTCCAGCTTCACATGTCTCACTTTTGATTTTTGTTTTGTGGGAATTCCATTTAAAAATTGGCTATTTCTATAAATCTGATCAAATATTTTTTTAATTTCTTTAATTTGCATTTTAAGCTGATTTCTTTTAATTTTGTACGTACATACATACATATTTACATATCGCACACCGTCTTCAAAAGTGTCACAACTCAAAATTGCCATTTTTGAGATTATGCGCTAAAAATGTACACAAAGCTTTTGTTTAGCTTTCAGCAAAAGCTGGAGCAAATTTTCGTTATAATTTGTTAAAAAAAACCTAAGGTAAAGTCGCCCTTGCCCATAATGTTTATCATTTGCTAAGAAATAGTTTTTCGCATTTTCTGACAAACGTATTATTTTGAGTTGTGACTCTTTTGAAGACGGTGTGCGATATGTACATACTCGTACGTGTTTATATCGCTTAACCACCATTGAACAATGCCAGATAGATTTCATCTCTGTTATAGATTTGGAACAATGCGCTCAATGACTCGATTTTAGTGATCTGTTATTTATTTTCTTGGGACTTATCGTCAAAAGATCTGTTGGTAATAATGAATTTACTGCTTATGGGGACAATACCAGTTATTGTTGAACTCATGTTTGTATTTACTAGGGTGGTCCAAAATTTATAGAAAATGGAAAATAAGCAGACCCGTATTTTTAATTTTGAAATCAGTTAATATCTAACCGTGTCGCCGCACAGTGGAACGTCCCGATATAAGCCGCGACCAAAAGTAGTAACCGTACTACAAATTCGCTGAAATTTCGTATATGCTCTATTCTGCACTTAGCCAAGAAGAAATGTGGAGAATGATTTTTTGATTGCCTCTTTCTCATTTCCTGTTCGATCCCAAATTAAAAGCAAAGGTGAGAAAATTGTGTGTTCATTTCGTATAATGTCCCACTCTTGTAAGGCAAAAAAGCCAAATTCTCTGCCCTATGAAACTTTGTTGATCGTCGCCCTGAAAATCAGATGGTTGTTTAAAACGAAAATATTATGAAATCCTTGAGCTACACAAGGAGGCAAAAGCATGCCTTTTTAAAGGGTTGATTGTAACATCAAACTCATTTTGCACCGGGAAGGGCAACATGTTTTGGGAGAAACGAAATCACCATTAAATTCTACCAACATTTTATCCAACAAAAGCTGAGTAGGACTTTTACCAATGAAAGCAGATCTCGTCTGTAGAAGCGATCATTTTTATTACTATTTAGCTTCTTACTTTTGCTTAAAATTTTAACTGCAAATGCTGTCCTGATATTCTACTTCAGCGAGCTCTCATTTAAAAAATATACCCGTCTAATATGTTAGAGTTATTTGGGTACCAGCCCATATTGATATTGCAGGGATTGCGTTGCGGAGAAGTTGGCCAGGAAACGTACTCCCGAGATGTACTCACCGGGTAAAGAGTAGAAGTTCTTTCTCTTTGGTAAGTTTATTGTGAGGATAGTTAAGTATTGGTTTCACGCGATGGGGCTAAATATCACACAGAATCGTCACTGCTTACAGAACAATGAGGTGGAATGAAAACTTTGGTTTAAGCTGCCTAGATTCTGTGAGACTACGGAAAATATTTTCTTAAGTACAAAATAAGTTCTTCCTTACAAAGATTGCAAAAATATTTGATTTGTTAATTTAGCTATTTTCCTTTGCCATAACTAAAATTTTGATCTAGCTTTTTAGCTTTACTTTTTGCCCATTTAGCCTTTTCTCTGAAAAAGTTGTGGCAACACTGCTAACAGATTCGCTAGGCACAAATGATAGTTCGGCTGGATAAAGGTCGTACTATCAGGTGAATGCAAAAATACTTCTTTTGGTAAAAGGGGATGGAATTTTCTTAAAGTTCCCTAAAATTCTAATGGAATTCTCAATATCTCCAACAGTTCGGAAATATGCAATTCTTCCAGTTAAGAAAAAAAGTTTTATATGCTGGTGCCTATAGCCCAATGGCGGCGCATATTTATGGATTTCTGTAATACAATCTGGCTTTAGATCAAAGCTTACATATGTATTAGCGTGGGCCGGAAATCTGCTTTTTTAGAATTTTGATTGGTAAGAGCAAAAATATGGCTCATTATGCTCTAAAAAAATCTGTGTGCAAGATTAAAATTTTTGGTCAATATCTGAGGCTCGCCCAAGTCCATCAGTTTTCAAGTGGTAATATTTAGTGGCTATATTTAGTTTCAAATATAAAGGAGAATTTATGTAAACATGTGTTGCTGTCAGCGACACACAGCGGCCAATGCGTGCACTAACACAACTTCAACTAGCCACCACCACCACCAACACATATATGAATGCTTGCCACCACGAACCAGCCCCCAACATAACATCAAACTTGAAGCGATATGCCCAGCAACAACAGTGCCGTAAGAAGCAACAGCTGTTGCAACCGTCAAACACAATTCGTTTGCGCTGCGCCAACACCACAACACAACAAATTCGCTCCCAACCAAACCACAACAGGTTGGTATGAAATTCGAAATCGCTGCAGGGGTCAAGCGGTTTGATAGCCCCACCGCATCACAATGCTCCTGCAACATGTTTGTAAGTTGGCTATGCGCTTGCGTACTTTCCATGCAGTGGCCTACTGCCAACTGCAAGTGCAGATGTTGCAAGTGGAGAATTTCGTTTGCAGCCTGCAGCAAGTCGCTGTTTACCCATGGCTGGAATCGTGACTATTTTCTAGGAGCGCTGACTTTTCCTGCTTGGCAGTCAGCTGCTCACTGGTTTAACCTCAGCGAAGGTTAGCCGCGCTGCAGCCAAGCTGGCTGTGCGCCTGTGGGCTGCTCTGCTCTGTGTGACATAGACGTTTTATTTGCTGCCTGCGTCGCCAGCAGCGCCGGCATGGCATGAGTGTGGCTTTCGCTGCTCTCCTACTCTCCACAAAGTAATCCAATTAGTGTGGCTGGGCTCTATAAGCATCTTCTTGTGGTGGTTGCATTGTTTGTAGATTCGGGTTCGCCTGCTAGCCTGCCCGGGATGGCTCTGGTCTCTGGCTTGGCTCACTGGCTGCTTATGCAGAGGAGTTGAATATATTTTTCGTTGTTGCCACTGCCTCGCTTTTGGACTCACACGATATACATATGTACGTACGTATATATCCAACGATGTTGCACGACGATGGCAGCGCTGTTGACGTCTGGACTTCGGTGCTTTCGGGTCGATTTTGTAGAAAATTTCTGCAAAACACAGTTTAGTGTAGACTCCCCGAGGTTTCGGTTGTATCGATAGTAGTTGTAGTGCGTGTGAGCGAGTCGCAAAGCCGTCGGTGTTTTGGTCATTACTGCTGCTGGATTGAAAGAAAAGATAGATATTATTGTGTATTAATTTTTTGCTCAGCCAATGCTTGGCTTTTGCAAATTGCAAAAAGTTAAAAGAGGTGTGTGGCTGTGTGTGTGTGTGTGTATTTGCGAAAAAATCACGTTTTGAAGCGGTCGATTAAACTGCGATCAAAGCGTGACACCGTTCGTGTTCAGCTGGGCTCCATTGGCATTGTTGTTGGTTTAGAGGTCAGTGAGCGCCAAACGTGTTTCTTTGTTGTTGTACTTTACACCCGATGCGAGGGCAAACGGGGCAGCAGTCGGATATGCAAAATCGATTTCGTGAATAAACATAAACAGTAATGAAAACAATGAAATGACTTATTTACATTACTTTTGAGACAACAACTAGAAATTACCGATTTACCGAAATGTTACTTCATAGATTTTAACACTTTAATTGGCAAACAATAGTTGAGAATAGGCAGAGGGGTACATACATACCTACATATACATACATACATACATACATATGTATGTGTAACTTCCATATGGAAAATTATATGAATTATGTTTGAAAAAACTCTTTTGAGTTTGAATATTTAGTTGAAAGATTTTATAACTTCTATACAGAAATAAAGAAATAAATAGTTACTTTTTTTACAGGTTTAAAATTGGAAAAAGTATAATTTCGAACTATTTATTTGAATTGTCAAAATTTTATACAAAAAATACTTTCAGTTTATGTTTACCTACGATATGAAATGTAAGCAATAAAAGCAAAAAAATAAAGAAAATTGTAAAAAAATAAAATCAATAAAATTTTTAAATACATATAAAAATTTAATTAAGAAATAAAACAAAACAAAATAAAATACATAAAAAAATTAAATAAAAATGAAATAAAAGAATGCAATGAAGTATAAAAAAGTTAAATATTAAAAATATTAGCTGAACAGAAAAATAGAAGAAACTATGAGTTTGGAGTAAATTTATAAAAATGATACTTCCATCTATACATCCACATGTACGTATGTATGTATATAGTATCAAATTAGAAGTTTTTAATAGTAAAAATATCAAGTTAGTGGGTTTGCAATTTAGGAAGATGACAACACCAGAAATTTCTGCAAACTACATATAGAGGGTCTAAAATATGGGTATATATGTATATACTACGTTTGTAAATCCTTAAATCTACTTCAAAAAAGAATGCTGGCAAGTTTTTAGTTAAAAATAGATTTTCATATGTAAATAAGCTTGACAAGTTTAGGCCGATTTCTCAAATATAAATATATACAAACTTTTTTAAAGTCAAGGGTTTATTCTAAATGCAACTATAAACGCCGAGCTTAATAATTAATCTCCAAATCATCTTATTTTTATTTTGTTTAATAAAAATTGTGGTACTTATTTCCAGATGAAATAAAATACATACAGCAAAAACAATTCAGTATTATTTAGCAAAAAAATATAAAAGCATTCCGGGTCGAAATTTAAACCAAATCCGCATCGAATAGAAAAAACAATCAAATTATTCAACAAAATAAAAAATAAACATTTTAAACATGTCTCAAAAAGCTGCCACAAGTGCAGCCTCTCCAGCGAGCCCAAGGCTGAGGCCACTCATGACAATGTTGCTCTTAATAATGCTGAGCGCTCTCTGTGCCAATGTAGCGAATTGCAGTCCAATTGTGGACGAGCCATCTGAAAGTCAGCGCTTGGCGAAGGCGTTGAAAATACCGAATTCGGCGGAGACGCGCGAACATAGGCGACGCTTGGCCTGCCGCCGCGCTTGCTGGGCTAAGGTAAGTACAAAGAAAAGCACTTTATTGATAAACAAAGATATATACATATATATATGTAACATTATTACTATCTACATATGTACATATGTATGTACGATTATGGCAACACATGTTTACATGCATCTGCAACAAGATAAAATAAATAGATAGCCAAATCCCCTTTTTGTTTTGTGCCGCATTGATGGAATCCTTTTCAATTTGTTTTTTGTTTTTTTTCTATGATGTTTTTCTTTTGCGAATTTTCGCAATTACTTTGATGGATTTGTTGGATTATTTTCGGCGTTGTTGCTCTTAAACACATACAGCAACATGTACAAAGTAGATATATATATATTTTATTTGCAACGAAATGCCACGTGTTTACATACATGCATATGTTTGTGCTGTTTGCATTTGCGTGTGTGTGTTGTTGTTGCATGCCACATCGCTTGCCAAAGGGGTTGCTGAACATATGTATGTATATATACTAGCTCACGAACATACACACGTTCACAAGTATGGACTTGACAGACCATTCGAGTGACTAAGTGAGTATTTGCAACACAGCTTAGAGCTTCATCCACATCCACCACAATATCCATCGACATTCGCCCTCTTTTCACCTCATTCATTCCCCGTATTACGCTCCTTTGCCATGTCGCCGCCGCCGGCGCACAGTGGGGAGAAATGTATCGTTTTGGACAATAGTCCGCTGACTATTCAAATCTAAATCGATTTAAAAAATGTTAATTTCACTTTGTATTGCAAATTTACAAATTTACAAGTAAATTATTGAAGATAGAAGAAGGATAAATAATTCTTACTCGTCCAGTTTGCAAATTCGCAATAAATGACCCTCAAGTCTTAAGGCCTTGAGTTTTCTAAGTTATATTATAAAAATTCAAATTTATCGCAGTGAAATGTTATAGTGAAACCCAATCTGAGTGTTTAATTTTTTTTGTACCCATTCAGATTTGTGTAATCAGCAGGCTTTTGTTCAAAACGATACATTTCTTCCCACTGTACGGCGCTGCAGTATAGAAAATGTTTTCATTTCGCATTTTCATGTTTTAACTTTGTACTCGCTTAGAATTTTAAGCAGTTGGAAAAACAAATCACCAATCCACTGCGGGCACTCGCTCGCAGTTTATGACTAAGTCGAACCGCAACAGGGAGCGTAGTATAGCTAAATCCGTAGCCTTCAGTACTCAGCCCTCAGTACGCAACTATCGAGCAGCCCTGCTTCTGTTCATCTCTGTGTGTTCTTTGCGATCCTGGGGGAGGATTCGTTGTAATTTGTGGACAGTTGCATTTCAAATGCCCATAGGGCAATCACATCAGGGCGCCCTTGCCTAATGAACATATTTATGTGTATGTATGCATGTAGGCATGTGAATCCATTCGTGGATACATACATATGTGTTTGTGTATGTATGTAGGTAAGTATTAAAGTCCAAATGAGCGACGGTAAGTTGCTTTCGTTAGACTTCCTCCTCAGATATAAAAAAACACTATGCAGATACCACTAACAGATATAACGGGTGTTTGACCGAGTAAGTAACATAGGACAAAACATTTCCCACAATTGTATTCTCTGGGAAGTACTACGACCAACCTACCTTCTCAGCGGTAGGTTACCTCAAAATTAAAATATCGCAAAGTATCTGCTCTTGGAAAAGAAATAATTTTTATATAATCGGGTTTTTAATAAAATTTGATAAAAAAATACCCATTCCGGTAAGAGGTAAAGGTTTATAGCCAATCTCATAAAAAATAAAGAAGACTTTAACTGTTTTATAAACCAAAAATTTTGTGGAAAATGTCACTTTATAGAGCTTTATAAACCTATTTTTATGAATAAGGCCATTAGAGTTTTTAGCAAAGAAAATTATTCCCGGATTTTCAGTTTTGTTATAGTTTCATAATTTTACTTAAAATATCTTAATATAAAATAATATTTAAATATATTACATACTCGTGTGTATAAACATTTTGATTCACTTGAATTGGTAATTTTTTTTGTTTTTGGTGGTTATTGTTTCCGACAGGGTTGGTGTATAATATGTTTAGAGACAAATCGGTTTCGGCGTTGATCTTCAATGTCATTTTAAAGAAATTCATTCCAAAGCTCACCATAGAATTTCCTTTTCTTCAATCAGGACTTTATATCTTGCAGAAATCGGAGAAGATTTATTTTAGTGATATTTGAAATTTTGAAAAAGTAGTAAGAATAAGTTAAAAGTCAAAAAAAAAATATTTTTAAAATAAGGAATTAAAAAATAATTTTTTTTAAGAAAACCTTTTTTGATGATTATTGAAAAAAGTCTAACGGCAAAATTTTTTGTGGAGTTGTTTTATTCCATTTCAGTAATATCCCTGCAGTGAAACCCCCACCTAGTCAGGAAAAATACTGGTTTACAACTAGAGTTTCCTGACTGTAACTGAATTAGTTCAAAAATGACCAGACTTGTACCAAGTACAAAACGATTTATTCATGCCCTGTTTTATTTGACTTCGACAGCTTAATATAACAAAATATTACAACTTTTATTTGAGTATATTGTAAACCATTAAAGCGAGTACATATTCAATTATACCAGACCTGTTAAGTAATGATTAATAATCATAATGAATATTAAAGCCAGTTTCGTTAAATACCAATATGAGTACCTTTTTAATGATTAATAACTAATTAAAATTTTTTTAATTAATTCATTAATTTTAAATACATGATTATTTTGTTATTTTTGATCATTTTAAATTATTTTTGACTTTTTTTAATTACACGATTAGATAATATAATTATTTGATTAATTTCAGTTATCAATCAACAAGCCAAACTATAGACAACAATTAAGATTATTTAACAACTGCATGAATTATTTATTTATTTTATTTTTATCCAAATCTCAAATTTTATGCGTTAATTATTACTTTTATAAATTTTTAAAAAGAAATTACTAAAATGAGCAAAGTTAATGAATTTAATTTAATTTAATGAAAACTTTTATTCTTATTTAAGTTCACTCGAAAATGAACTAAAGTACATTTTCATTTTATTTTTAACTAAAATGTTTTTTTGTTTGTTTATATTTAATATAATTAAAAAAGATGAAAAATATAGTATTTATTGTACCTGAAAGCATTTACTTTTAATAACATTTAATGAAAAGTGCATTTAAATTTATGTTCGAAAGTTTGAAATATTTAAGTATCTATTTATTTCTCCTTTAATACTCAAAAAATTTAACACTAGTTATTGGCAAATTTATGGCTGCTAAATAAAAATGTGTAATATATTAAAGTGCACTTATTCAAACGGTTTTATTGTATATTCATGAATTCATTTTATTTCTTGACTCCCAAAGTAGTGGTTTTGGTCCATAATTGGACTAGTATTTTTCTGTCTATTTTGAATTAGTATGAGACTGGTATATTTCTGACCGAAACCTGAACCTTTTTGAAAAAAGCTAGATAGAAAAAATCGCTGGCTCGAAATTCATTTTACACCTATGGTTTCTTGGGCAAAAATGCTTGAAATGAACCAAGTAATCATAATCGCGAAGTGCCTTTGTTAATTTTTTTGGGCCCCTACAAATTGACCCGCCCTACTATGCATACATATTTAGTACAAACGCATTCGGCATTGTGAACATTTGCATAACATTTTACCCAAATTTACCTAAACTATACCTACTTACTAACTTGCAAACTTGGAAAAATAGTTTACAGCATTTGTAAATATGCATGACTGCAATATAATTTGAAAAATATGCACCAGCTGGGAATTTGAATTTCTAATTTTGACGCAAAGAGGCCAATCAGGAGAGCAAAACTGCACAATGAAAAGCACTCGTTTATAGGACAATTTAGTTTACATATGTATACTTTCGTTTGCACTTATATATGGACATTAGACCGGGTCGATTTACAATTAGGTAATTAATTTATCGCGTAAAATTTACAACTTTTGTATGTTTTTTCTGAAAACAATGAAGGCCATTAAAATTGACTCAAAAACGACTGCTTACAATAAAGAAAAATAGTTGTACGTAAACTTTTTTAAAACTCTTTCAGTAATTTACTACTTGAGCCACATGGTAATCATATATCGACACCTGAGCGGAAGATGTATTTTCAGTTGATATAGGGCCTTTTGAAATAGATTCTGAGACAGGGCGTCCTTCAACCAAATTCTTAGATAGGTTGTTTTTAAATAAAATTCTGAAGTAGGGCATTCTTGAAAAGCTTCTGAGACAGGGCGTTTTCGAACTGGCTGCCGAGATAGGCCCATCTTCCACTCAGTTGTCGATATGTAAGAATGCTGAACACAATATTTTTTTAAATTTTTTATATTATTTCTGTTCCATACAGGTACATAGCGCGATATGGTCTAATGTACATACAAACATGCAAGTGTAAGTGTATGTATATGTTTTTTTAAATAAGCTGCTGCAATCATGTAATTGCACTCTGAATCGATGGCCTGAAAGTCCATGCAAACTAGCAATTTATGTACATATTACTAACATTTGGCTCTCAACTCGTATTTAAATTAAATTCAATTTTATAAAATTGCATAATTTTCACAAAAACTTTTTGTGTTGCATATTTCCATTGGGAAAACTGAAATGAAATTCAAATTTGAAAAGAGCAACTAAATAAAATCTAAAGTACTCGTACATATGTATGTATGTGTTTGACTTGAAATGCAGCAACTTTACAAACTACGCACACACACACACACACGCACATGAGAGTAATGCA